AAGAGAACCTACAGATTGGGAGAAAATATTTGCCTATGGCATATCTGACAAAGGACTTATCTCCAAACTCTACAGAAATCTTCAAGAGCTCAAAACCAAAAAGACAAATAACCCAATTAGCAAATGGGCAAAAGACTTGAATAGACACTTCACCAAAGAAGATGTACAGGCAGCCAACAAACACATGAGAAATTGCTCACGATCATTAATCATTAGAGAGATGAAAATCAAAACAATGATGAGATATCATCTCACCCCAGCAATAATAGCTGGGGTGAGATGATAAGTTCAACAGGTCAGAAAATAACAAATGCTGGCAGGGTTACAGAGAGATTGGAACTCTTGTGCACTGCTGGTGGGATTTTAAAATCGTACAACCATTGTGGCAAACGTTATGGCGTTTCCTTAAAAAACTGAAAATAGAAATACCATTTGACCCAGCAATTCCATTACTAGGAGTATATTCTAAAGAGGTGAGAGATAGCACATGAACAGATGCATGCACACCTATGTTCATCGCAGCACACTTCACTATAATGAAGAGATGGAAACAACCTAAACGCCCATCAACGGATGAGTGGATAACCAAATTATGGTACATGCACACAATGGAGTACTATACTACATTAAAGAACAATGAGGGATACGGGAATCATCTCACAGCATGGATGAACCTGGAGGACATTAGGCTGAGTGAAATAAGTCAATTGCAGAAAGACAAGTACTGTATGAGCCCATTACTGTAAAAAGACAAAGAAGGGTTTGCTTGGGAAAGTGAACTCACTTTCTAGGTTACTGGGATGGGGAGGGAAAGGGAGGAATTAATTTCAGGCTAGTTGGGGCCCACGTGCTTACGTGGGTAAGGGAAGGGATTACCCAAAGGGTTTGTGACCACCATGATAACATTAGGAAACTGGAGGACATCGAATTGTGCACATAGGAGATAGACGACAGAGGCTAATACCAACCAATGTGTCCACAATACTGCATTACCATTAACACCAAACACCAGACTACAGATGAACACATAAACACCTGAGAGGATCATATGGGGGTCAGTGAACAGGAGTATACTCCAGACCAAGGATAGATTCAGCTGAGGCTAAACTTTCACAGACATCAGTGATACAAAATACCTGCAATCCTTACAGAAACGATAGAAGATAGACACAGAGTAATCCCAACCAGATACCCAGACACTATGGAAGAGATCCAATAGATCTACCATCTCAGGACCATAGTACTGGGGGACACAGGCTCAAATCAATTGGCACAACAAAATACATAAAAGCCTTGTTCTGCACCCTGCATCGGTGAGTAGCAACTGGGGTCTTAAAAGCTTTCAAGCAGCCATCTAAGATGGCTAATGATCTCCTAGCATCGGAAGTGAAGAAGAATGCAAAAAAAAAAAAAAAAAAAACAACCAAGGGTATTTGGAAGCAATCAGCCCTAGGACACTCTGGCTCTCGAGACCAGCAGAAATAGACGGTACCTGGCTACCAATGCCAACCACTAAGGAAAGGATCAAATCTGGAGATCCTGGATACAGTGGGAGGGAAAATGTGGAACAAAATCCACTCAATAATAACCGAAATTACTGGTCAGATGCAGTCTGGTGAGACTCCCAATACTATGGCCCTGGAATAAATTCTGTACCTGAAATAAAATTCACTCCCAGGGGCTGGCTCTCAGTCCAATAGTTAACAAGATGTACATGCAAGACCACTCAACCCAGGATGATGCACCCACATACTCTATGGTAATACATCCCTTAGAGCAATAGACCATGGTGCACCAGAAGACCAAAATTCAAACTGACGAAATGTAGGACAAACAGGATTGCATAAATATGAAGGGCACAGGGAGAGGGTTATTGGGTAGAGAGGGGAGGAGACTGGGTAGGGTTGGACATGGTAAATGGGGAGTGAAATTAACTGTACATGAAACGTTGAATGTAAAACAAGTTCTTAAAATAAAATAACTATATAGCATCAAATTAACAACAGCAACTCAAAAAATTAGATCAACAATTTAAGGGGCAGTGAGTTTTTTTTTTTTTTTTTTTTTTTTTGAGTTTATATTAATGGGGGAGGAACAATCTGGAAAAGGAGGGTGAGAATGGTTATGAAACTTGGGGAATGTGATCAGTGTCACTGAAATGTACATGCAGAAATTGTCAAATTGGTGTGTGTTGTACTGTGTATATTTTCAACAACATAAAAAGTGAAATAAGCTTTTTAATGAAAATTTTAGAAAGAAAGCAGGTTTAGATTTCCATCAATTATAGCTATAATAATAACTAATGTTTTTATAGCACTTTTGATGTGCAGTAGTGCTTCACATACATTAACTCATTTAAACCTGGCCTTATTCCTATAAGTTTTATCATTAGCTATATATATCTCAGAGATGAGGAGACAAGGCCCAGAGAGGTCAAGTTGTCTGCCTGAGGCCACATAGCTGATAAGTGACAGAGCTGAGACTCAAACCCAGTTAGTCCAGATCTGGACTCCAGAGTCTGTGTCTTTTCCCACCAACCAGGTTTTGAACAACTTGAGGGTACACCCTGCATCTGATATATCTCTTGTGCTGTTACATAGTGAGAGCTTATCTAAGACATCTTGGCTATGTCGTCAAGCTGAAGTTCAGCAGTGATCTATGATGGCCACCTCTTAATGTGTGCTAAGACTTAACATACACACCAAGCTTGCACAGAAAGCATCCTTAATCCCATTTGACAGATGAGGAAACAGAGGCAGATGTGGTGATGTAATCTGCCCATGCACAGATCCCAAAAGAGTCAGAGGTGCAGTTGGAATTTGAACCCCAGTCTCCTGCAGCATGCTGCTTCCCCAGCATGTGCTGTATGGGAGAAGACTCCAGCTTCCTTAAGTTCAAGTGGTCAGTACCAGGACTGTGGAGGTATTTAAGGCAGAGGGGCCAGCAAACTTTGTGAAGGACCAAACACTGTTTTAGGCTTTGTGGGCCATGCAGTCTCTATTACAACTACCCTGCCCTGTTGGTGCAGTGCAAATGCAGCCAGAGATAATATATAAATAAATGGACATGCTTGTGTGCCAATAAATGTTTAGTTTCAAAAATAGGTGACAGGGCCAGATTTTGCCTATGGGTCGTAGTTTACTGACCCTGATTTAGGGAGTTAAGTAATCGTAAGAGGTAGTTTCTTCCTACTTCTCTGTCAAACCTAAGATAGTTCCATTTGGGTTTTGTAGTTTTGCAAGTTTATTCCTCTTCCTATGGTGGGGGTGCAGGAGATTAGGCTCCTCTGTACACCAAAGGGCATCTGAGGTCACACCAAGGTTTAGTCTACCAATTCTTTTTGCTTGTTTCCTCCCTCCCTCCATTTTCCAGCCCTCCACTCCCAGTCATGCATTCATTTCACATTTGCTGAGAACACACTTGTTCCAGGCATCCAGCCTCTGGGGCTCACAGCCTAGCCTGGGGCATCAGGCTCAGCTCTGGGGTGGCCCGCCTGGTAGAACACTGACTGACCCCCACTTGCCTTTCAGAACTCACTGCTCTCACTGTATTGATTTTCACTCTTTGTTAGGTCTTGCTCTCCTGTTTGTCTGAACACATTGCATTTCCTTTCAGATCATGTTTCCCTCCTGGCTATGTTTCTGTGCTGGCTGGGGCCTGACACTTCACCCATCCACACAGGCCCTCAGAGGAGCGCCCCAGGGTAACCCTGTGGGCTGCCGGGAGGAGCAAGGAAACTATGGCTGTGCCCACCCTTCTCAAAGCCTCATCTATAGGTCATTCTCAGTCAGCAAGTAGGTGGGACATGGGGGGTCAGCCCTCCTGACAGCTGGGAAATGCCAACCTAGCTCCTTGGGGTCCATTGACCAGACATCTAGAGCCCCCTGACCAGGTAGGCAGAAGGCTGCTGTTTGGAACATGCCCAACAGGCCACTTGAGACGATTTAGAACCATTCATCTCAGAAATATATTTTGAGCACCCACTACAAAGTCCCTGGGTGGTGCAAATGGTTTGTACTCAACTACTAATCAAAAGGTTGGTTGTTCAAATCCACCTAGTGGCACCATGAAAGAAAGGCCTGGTCATCTATTTCTGAAAATAAAACAGCCATTAGAAACCCTATAGAGCAAAGTTTTATTGTAACACACATGGGGTTGCCATGAATTGGAGTCCACTAGACAGTAGCAGGTTTGGCTTGGGTTTACCATGTGCAGGGCACTATTCTAGGCACTAATCATGCTTGGGAGCCCAGATGAGTAGGACAGGACTGATGGCCCAGGTGGATTAAATAACAGGATGATTTGGATCTTTGCCTCTGGGTTCCCTTGGAATGAAGCTTTCTCCATCCTGATTACAGGGCTTCAGGCTCAGGATCTCAGGAGATTCCTTTACTGGATGAGGCTCCTTTTATCCACTTCTCTCTCTGCCAAATGGGGTCTCGGCTTCTGCCTTTCTTCCCCACTTTTCACTAAATCAGGGTACTTGGGTTCCCAGCTCTATATGGTAACCTTCTGAAGGATAGACTTGCAGTCTGGTCATCTGTATGTACAGAGCACCTAACACCATGGACTTAGTGCCGAGTATACATAGTAGGTGTCTGTTGGACGTTTGGCAAACAGCATCATGGGTGTGTATGATGGACTGACAACCACGCATCGGGATGCCCTGGACAGCCCTGCAGTGAGCCCATGGCAGGTGAGAGGAGGAGAGAGCATGGTGGATAGATATCTATAATAGATAACCTGGGCCCCCTCTTGCCTAGGGGTACCCTTTCTGAGATAGCTGACTAGGGTTAGGAGTACAGTCACCAGCCAAGGGAGTGAGGCATGTAAATCAGCCCATTGCTGGATGTGGCTGTGGTTTTGGCTTTGCATGTAATCCTTGAGCCACCAGGTCAATGTGCATGTGGTTGCCAATATGGCACTGCAGTATGGAGCAACACAGTCAGACAGGAGGGGGCTCTTCCATGAGGGATTGAGAGAGTTTCCAGAAGCCTTACCCATCACTCCAGCGTCCTCTCCATTCGGTTTTGCCCCAGGGGTTCCACAGGCGGATAATTTCTTCCCAGCCTTTCCTGTATTGAATCTAGAAAGAACAGAAAAAGAAGCAGTCACCGCTCCCCAGCAGAAGTCAGCAGAAAGAGGGAATATGAATGCAGCTGCTTTTACCTCCAAGGACTAATTTAACTTCTGACCTCATTTGGCTGCAGTCGGGGGGAAAAAAATTGAAAGGGAATAAAATCAATGTCTCTGCTGCATGCAAAGAGTAGAAATGAGAGAGAGGAGAAAATGGCCCCTCTCTCACTCAGCACCTCGCAGAGCAGGTGCAACTTTATCATTCTGTGCGCCTGCCTCCTAGGACCGGGTGAGCTGAGGCACAATAGCAGATTGGGATGCTGCTAGAGGCTGCAGCTGCAGAGGAGGGATCTTTATGAGTCCTCAGCCTCCTTTGAGCCTATCATAGCCAGCATTTCTATTCCACAGATATTGCATGTGTCACTGCCATGGGCCCACAGGGAACTCTGTTTGAGTCTCCACGCCGTTGCTTGGAGTGAGGAGAGTAAGCCCAAACCAAGCCTATTCCTGTTGATTCTGACTCATGGCGACCCCACATGTATCAGAGAAGAAATATGATCCATAGGGTTTTCAATGCCTGAGGTTTTGGAAATAGATCACCAGGCCTTTCTTCTGAGGCACCTCTGATTGGATTTGAACTGCCAACTTTTTAGTTAGCAGCTGAGCACTTAACTGTTTGTGTCACCAAGAGACAATTGAATGAGGGGTAAGAAAGGCTGGATTGAGCAATGCCAGGTCTGCGCATCAAGACATTCAAGGATAGTCCTTATTAGCCTACCTCCCCAGCCTGCACCAGACCCTCATTACAGAGCCCCTGTTTGGAGCAGGGTGCCTATGCTGGCCTGAAGGTTCCTGCCTAATTCCCCTACCTCTCACCCCCTTCACCATGTCATTACTCCTAGATGCCAAGGTATCAAGGTTGGCACATTTGCTTCTTTAGACCACTTGGACCAAAGGTCAGGACTGTAAAAAAGTTACAACAAAACAACAGCAAATCCTTGGGCTACATTATCAGGAACTAGAGGCTCAAGCCTGGTGAGAGGAATTAAAGAATAATTGAGTTGTAACTGTGATATTGATTTGTGCTAATGTTGTCTGGGGAGACAAAGACCTGTATGGATGAGGGCAGAAGGCAAACTTGTTCAAAGATTCTAGGTCATAGGAGGTTGAGAAAGCCCTGAATGGTGTCACCTATGGAGAAGAAAACCAAGTGCAAGACAGGGCTGGGAGCAAGGTGCTCAATGAGTGCTTTACATGTTCTGTCATTCAATCCCCTGCCCTGCAGAGGAGGAAACTAAGCATCAGAGAGGTTAAGCAACTTTCCAAAGGTCACAAAGTAAGTGGTAGAGGCAGAATTCTGAGCTCAGCCACTGTCAGCCCAAAGCCCATGCTCCCAATTTTGGTACTGAGAGTGGACAAAGAATACAGCTGTTCCAGAGGATGTAATCACCAATAGGGCACTGCCAAAAAAGTACCATACAATCAAACATGGGCCAAAGAGCTTGACTTGGGTAAAATTCTTCTTTGCTTTTCCTTGCTGCTTTCTATCTCTGGCCAGCCGTGAAGTGGAAGGTGCTCTGGCTTCAGTGCTGCCCCTGAAGACTCCAGGCACAAACCCAGGTGTCCCACCCTGCTCAGCTCATTCCCTAGCGAACCTGTATACAGTGTGTCACCAGCACCTCACAGAGCCCATGGAGCAGGGCTGTGAGAAATGGGTGCCTGGTGGCCCAAAGGGCTTAATAAGTCATCCTCAGTGCCTAGCCAATGGTCAGGGGCAGCTCAGATGCACATAGGGGAGAAGAACAGCCCATGATTCAAAGGGGCTGGAAGCAGGGTTAAATGAGGCATGCAGATAAACACTCACCCCCTTGCCCAGGGGAGTCTCTGATCCAGCTAGGTGCATAATAAAAAAATGCCAATTTCATTTATCTTCCTGTCTGTGTCCTGCCTGGAAGGAGGATGAGCAGATTAAAAAGCACACTACATTTATGGGCTGGTATAATCTTAGCATTTGTGGTTCAGAGTTACAAATGCTTGTCTCTGGAGGAGGAATCTTTATCCAAGTCAAGTTTTTGGCCCTCGTTTGACTCTGTTGCTCCTTATGAAATTTCCCTATTGGTGACCACATGGGCCTTGGCTAAGGAGTTATACTCAAAGCCAAGGTCACGGCCACATCCAAGAATGAGCTGGTTCATGTGCCTCGTTCCCCTGGCTACTGACTATAAATCTTGACCTTGGTCAACCCTCTCAGAAAGTGTGCCCCTGGGCAACAGGGGACCTAGATTCTCAAACCTAGAAAATGCTTCCTCAATGTATTCTCTTCAATGCTAGTTCCACAGGCTGTTAATAGTTATTCCTAGAGGAAAAAATAAATATTTCCTGGCCAATTTTAGTTTAAAACAAAGTTGCATTTGCCAAAGAATATTAGTGGTCACTAGGGGTAAGAGGGAGGGGGAAAGGGGAAGCTTTTGTTTGTGCAGCATGGAGTTTATGCTAATGGTGTTCGAATATTTTGGAAAAGGATAGCAATAATGGTGGCACAACATGAAGAATGTAATCAATGTCCTTGAGCTGGAAATGGGGAAGATGTTATGTTGGTGAATGTCTTGGTGTCTATGTTTTACCACGGTAAAAATTAAAAAAAAAAAAAAAAAAAACTCAACTAAACTAAGTTGTATTTGTATCTTAAATACAGAACCTTTAAAATACTAACATACATTGTAACTCTCCCAGAAGGAACCATGTTTTCAGAGGACCTCCTAGGCTAGTGCTTCTTAGAACACAAGCTGGGTTAGAGGCCACAGAATGTTAAGGTGGAACAGACCATGCAATCCCATAGTCAAGGCTATCACAGGCCAGGGACCCTGTTAGACTGTTCAGTGTATTCTGTCCTCATGATTATAAAAATAACTCCAGTGTTTGGGTGTGTGAGCACAATCATCAGAAACCCAAACCACAGCTGAACCCACACTCTGACTCCTGAGTTCACCTGTCTCTCCGCCCTAGGTCCCTAGATGGCTCTTCTATAATTGGGGGGCCACTGCCATCCCCATGCCCAGCCTCTGAAGGGACTCCTATGTCTTGACCATCAGTACCTCTACATACACACATCCCTCTCCCCCTCTCTTCACAGGACAGATAGGATGTCTCGGTGTGTAAAAGGGTCTTGTATAGGGATGACAAAATACTAGTGCAGGTAACACAAGTCCCTTATTCCAACACAGATCTGCGGCCAACAAAGATATCACTAACTGATCACAACCCTCTTTTCCCCAAAATTTGGAAGCAGCTCTAATGTCTTGTCAATACAGCAATCCCAGTAGCATTGCCAATTGGTCAGAATTGGCGATGAGGTAAAACTGATTTACTGTCCGTAGACTTATCCACCTCTGGGACAGGAGAGCTGTGGGGAGCAGAGTCCCTACATGGCCAGTTGTGGTGGTGGTATTGATTGCCCCCATTGAGGATTCAAGGGAGGGTTTAGGAAGGTGGGACAGAGGTGAGGCGATGCAATTCAGAGAATGAGGAGGTGGAGCCACTGTGGCTGGGATCCATTCTGGCCTGGGTTTATCCAGAAGCCTCTTCTGTGCTTGTGGGCCACATCTTTTGAGTTCCTCACATATATTCCATGATGAGGGATTAGAAATGTCATCCTCGTAGGCCAAAGGCAAGTCCATTCATTCATACATGCAAGTGCACTCATCCACTGAGAATGAACATTTATTAGGTGTCTACTGTACCCTAGGTACTGTCAGAGGAAGCATTTTGTAGCTGACTTACCTTAGGGAGATATGCAGGAGATATTGACCCTATTTTGTGGATTGAGACACTCACTAAAGTACAAACAATGGAGCAACTGGCCTTAGGTCAATGGACAGGAGAGGCAGATTGATATATATAGAGAGGGCAAGTCTGAGAGGGCACAGGAGAGAAAGCATGCCAGGAATATAACCTGACACTGTACTCCTAAGCCCACAAATACCTGTGAAAAGTGTGCCCTGGAGTTTGGAACACTGTTTCTTAGGCCTTAGAAAATATTATTAGACCTTAAGTGTTGTGGGAAAGAGAGAGGTGGGGGAACATTTGCAGGAAATCATCACAAGACTAGGAAATGCTGTCACCACACAGCACCATGATAAGCGTAGATGGAGTGGAGGAGCCATGGAGTCTGGCCAAGGCAGATCATTAAATAGCTGTGTAACCTCATCAAAGACACTTCCCCTCTCAGGCCTCCATGTCTTCATTTATGAATGGAGGAGCTTGGGTTTTGGTAATGTTTCCCAGACTTACTTACACTGCTGACAGTAATTACATGCATTTGTCCACCAAAGTCAGTTCTTACAACAAGGGAAAGATTGTTGTCTGACCCCAATAGCTGTCCTCTCCTATTCCATGGAATAAAGTTTCTCTGGAAATATGGCAGCTCAGAGAGACAGTATATTTCCCAGCTTCCTTTGTGCCTCAGTGTAGTCACATGACTTAAGTTCTGATGAATGGGATGTGAGTGGCAGTGATACGCATCATTTCTGATTCATGCCTTTCCTATGGATGGGCAATGTTCCCCTGGCTTCTTACCTTCCCTGGCTGGAAACTGCTGCCTTTGATTCACAAGGAAAGCCCCATGTTGAGGATGGTAGAGGCACTTATGGGCCCTGAAATCACCTGCTTACATAAGGGAGACATGCAAGTCCCTATCATCTTGTGTAGGCCCCTATCCTGTGGAGTGTCTTTGTTACATCAGTTTAATGTGTAGCTAATGAATAAAATCTCTTTTAGGGCAAGCCTTCTCTCAGAGTCAGTACAGAGGATTCTGCCTTCTTTTGAAGCTAATCCTTCAGTGTAGCTAGGCACTTGCCAGACTTATCTGAGATCATTTCAAGGAGAGAAAGACCTCTGGTGGGTCCCTGGGGGTGGAGGATACTGGAGCCAGAACTTCTGCATGCACCAAAGGAGTTGACCATGTCTCTCCACTTGAGTGTCAGGGTGGGGGGTGAGGGTGATAAATACTCATTTCAGCTTTGTGGATTTTCTGCAGGCATTTGATTCTGACTCCTGTTTCGAGGGTCTCAGCCCATGGGAGGGTTGGTCAGGCCAGCCTTACCTGCTCAGCCCCTGTCACTGTGTAAGCATGGCAGCTCACCAGGCCGGTCGCCATCACATCATCCTTGCCTGTTGGCTACAGAGGAGAAAAGCAGACCCTGCATTAAACTTTAGAGAAATGGAAAAGTACATTTCAATCAGCAGCAGAGCCGTGCCTGGGTGAAACTGGTCCCACTAACTCACTTCGCACTGACATATGTCCTTGAAACTCCTTTTTAGACAGGAAGAGTCTAGGCTGACTAGGAGTTGAGGCCCCATATTTTATGCCACAGGAAGCCACCGCCATTACAGATAGAACCCCACAAAGTTCTGAAAACCTGAGATGCTTGATCCTCTAATCACTTGTTGTCAATGAGACACAGTACAAAACGTGTCTACTCGGTCTTTTGCAGGAGCCAAGAGTTCTCTCCTCCCCATACTGTGTTGTGAGTAATTGGGGTTTAAAGGGGAACTTAATTATCCGGTGGCATTCTGGATGAGTGATGTGTGACTCAAAGCTACATATCTGAAGAGTGAAGGAAGCATCACCATGGATAGGGAACCAGCTGTCTTAGAACAGATTCAAATATTTTGGAGGGCCATCTAAGCTTCCCTAAATGGCATAACACCCTTGGAGGGTTGTATGTAGAGACAGTGAGAAACAGAGGACTCAAGGAAGGACTCAGTGTATACTCAAGACCAAGTACAAAGGAGCTATAGTGAGAACCATGACTGCCTCTGCCGGTGAACAGTAAAGGCCCCTAGTCACTCTGGATCTATCACTCCTGGTCACAGAGAAACAATAATAGACAAAGGTTTTGGAGTCATCAGCATTTGAATCTCTGCTCTGCCACTTACTAGCTGTGTGATGCTAAGCATTTTACTGAGCCTTGTGGATGCATTTCCTCTTTGCTAAAATGAATTTTGCCAACCCTATCTCAAAGGTAGAGCTCCTGTATGGATTAAATGAGTCTGCCTAGGTAAAGCATTCAGTAAGTGCTCAATAGTGGCTGCTTTGCCACTATTTGCCTTATCCTCACTAGCTGAATGTGGCCTTGACTGAACACCCCTGGTTGAGGACAGGCTCTAAGCGGTACACAAGGATTCCTGTCTTCTCCTGGAAGGGGCCTGCACTCACCCCCACTGGAGTGGAGCAGGCCATCAGGGAGCCAGCCTGGGCTGCCATCTTCACCACCAGCACTAGGTCAGAAGGGGAAGAGTACAGGTCGGCGTTGGTGACGAGCCCTCCTGTGAGGTCCACCAAGGCATCAGGGAGGTGGCCACCATGCAGGTGGAAATAGGATCCGTGCAGCCTGAAGGTGGGAAAATCAAGTCAATGCTTGTGATGTCTTCAGTGTGATGCTTTTAGAGGGGAGACAATATACCTGACCTCTGTATCATTCCCAAGGGAAGGTCTGCCTGGTCCACACCTGGCCCAGGCCTCCACCTCCCATTCTCATGGATGGAGAGTTTACCTACACCACCAGTCCAGAGGTTTGCACTGTTCTCACCACTTTCCTCCACTTACCCTCAGGCCTGAACAACCCTGTGAGTTGCAGTCCTGTGATCAGGGGTGAAGGTGATGAAGTCACAACCTGGGTTGAATCCCAACCTTATTGCATATTTAGTTCTTTGACCTTGGACAAGTTACTTAGCCTCATGGGGCTGTAGGGGTTATAGTGCCTGACACATGGCAAGCTTTTAACACATAGATGGCAAAATATAATATGATGATATAATTAAATATATATATATAATGGAGCTCTGGTGGCTTAATGCCTAAGGCATTTGACCGCTAACCAGAAGGTTGGCAATTCAAACCCACCAGCCACTCTGCAGAAGGAAGACTGGACAATCTACTTGTGTGAAGATTTACCACCTCAGAAACCCAAAGGGGGTCACTATGAGTCAGAAAGGACTCAATGGCAGTGAGTTTGGGTTTGTTTTTTTTTTTTAAATATTATATATATATTAGATGTAATATAAGATATAATATGATAGTATAGAATATAGATATAATTAGATATAATATGATGATAATCTGTTTCCTGTTCAATTTAATAATAGTTTTAAGTATAGTACAACCCAAGAAAGCCGGAAACTGTGTAAGATGGAAAACTGTCAGAGAAGAAAAATTCAAATATTTCCACCTAATAGAGCATGATAGAAAAGTGGTTAGGCTGTACCCTGCCAAAGGTGGAAAACTTGCAAGACCTGGAACAATGAGGCACTCCCACTGAATTCTAGCTCTCATAGGTTTCACTTTTCTTGTACGTCAGGCCCTGTGCTAGGCTTTTAGAATATAAACATAAGCAAAGCTCCATTCCAACCCTCAGTGAGCTCACAGTCCATAAGCTTGATGCCCATGGGGCCACATGCAGCCTCTGTCCTCACTCTGTGCAAATCTCAAGTCAGAATTCAGAACCTGTTCACAGTCTCAGAATTAATCCATTCACACCCTAAAATTTTAGGTAAGTATGTTGACTTTACTGAAGGTAACCTAATGGAGGGTGAGTGTTATATAACACACCTCAGAGCCTTCTCATCTCTGGCCCTCAGCCTTTCCAGTAGAAAAAGTGAGGTTGACTGGACCAGCTCTGAGGGCTCCTCAGACACTTCTTTCCCACCAAGTTTTCATTGCTGCCAGCATTCAAAGAAGTTCACCTCAGTGAATAGGTATCAAGCAGCCACTATGCACAGGACACAACCTCAAGCATAAGTGCAATGGATGGTTTAGGAAGTCTTTGCTAAAGAAAGGTACGGACACACAGGGACAATAATAATATAATAATTCTCAAGTTATCTCAACTTGCTTAAAACAGTCTCTAAATCTTATCTTTCTGTCTCTCCCTATATCTGACCGCGGGTCATGACTGGCACTACACTCCTATCTCTGGGCGCTTGCAAATCACGATTATGTGTGGTTGGCCTGAATGCCTGACTCTTGATTGCCAACAGGTATTCTGGCTCCTGTTTTTAAATTAAGAGTGTTTTGTGCTTAGAGTAAGGAAGCCTGGCTGCTCAATGGTTGAAGTGCTCAACTGCTAACCAAAATGTCGGTGATTTGAACCCATAGCTTCTCTGTAGGAGAAAGAAGTGCCAGTCTGCTTCTGTAAAGATTTATTGCCTTGGAAACCCTATGAGGCAGTTCCGCTCTGTCCTATAGGGTCACTATGAGTGAATCAACTTGATGGCAGTGGGTTTTTGGGTTTATGCTTAGGGTACTGGAAGTTCACAGGGACTGGAGTTCTTTCTAGAACTCACTGTAGAGCCCAGCAGCATGACATGACTTCTTGCTCACTGCAATAACCCTTCTTGGCAATATGCTCTCGGGTTCTCTAGGACTTTACATGGGGCTGCACCAGACCCGCTCTAGACGAGCAGCTGTTGGGCTCTTTCCCTGTTACTTCAAGGCTCCTGCTTCATTGTCTTTGGTCTTGTCTGATGTTTTACATCCTGCATCATTCTGCAGTCATTACAGCTGGCAGGATGGTCCCTATAGTGGCCTGCGGCCCCTCCCTCAGTGTCTCCCCATAGCCTTCTCGCTGCCCACAAAGACTGTCCCTGAGGTGTTTTGACAAGGAGCCATCTCTCTGCTTTACAAACATGAGCTCACAAATTCTGCTGATGGTTCAGGAACACAGCAACTATTCTTAGCCCTTTTGCTGACAGGAAATAGAAAGGAAATAAGATAGAACTGTGTTCACCACACCTGTCACTACTCCTTGTCCCCTGAACCCAGGAATTCCATGACAGCATTTCCATTTCCCTTGACTTCAACTTCATTTTGAGGAAATGTCTCTCTGCCCAGCAATGAGATGAAGGAGGGAAGAATTCAGATGTCTAAATCAGAGCTGGGAGCTCTGGTGGTACAGCGGCTAAGGTACTTGACTGCTAACCAGAAGGCTGGAAGTTCAAACCCCACAGCCACTCCTTGGAAGGAAAATGGGGCAATCTACTTCCGTAGTGATACTGCCCTGGAAACCCAAGGAGGGGTTGCTATGAGTCGGGTCCGACTTGATGGCAGTGTTTTTTTTTTTTTTAATCAGAGCCAGAAAGGATGCTGAAATGCTTTATTTTTTGGCTGCAGAGGTTCTAAAAAGATTATGAGCAGCCCAGATCTTGTCTCCCCAATCTCCTCTCTATTTTATTACCTCTAGTGGAAAAAAAAGGAGCCCTTGTGGCACAGTGGTTAAAGGATTCAGGTAACCAAAAGATCAGTGATTCAAACTCAGTAGCCACTCTGCAGGAGAAAGATGAGGCAGTCTTCTGTAAAGATTTATAGTTATACTCTGTCCTATCAGGTCACTATGAGTCAGAATCAGCTCAACAGCAATGGGTTTGATTTTGGTTGAGGGAACAATTTCCCAACATGGGTTTTCCCTACTTTTGACTGGATCTGACCAATTAATTTCCCAGACTCTCCAGCTGCCAAGTTCACTGCCATCGAGTTGATTCCAACCCCCATTGATCATCTGATGCTGTAAATCTTTAATGAAGTAGATTGCCCCAGCTTCCTTCCATGGAGAAGCTGGTGGGTTTGAACCTCCCACCTACTGGTTAGCAGTCAAATGCCTTAGGCACTGCTTCATCAGAACTCCATTTCCAAATGCCAGGATAAGTGCAAGTTTGGAGTCAACATGTTTATTCAGCTATTGCCTACATCCTTGAGAAAAGGAAGGCCCTTTCCATATGGGGGGCATGGGCTCTCCATATTTGTGCTGAGGCTCCATGGACCAGCCACTGAGCCCCAAAAGAAGCAAAGATCCCAGTCTTTTTCCTTCCGGACTGACAGTATCAAGTGATGGTGAAAAGTGCCTGATGAGAGGGAATATTTCTCACCCCAGCCTGGCCTCCAACACTGTGTGATGTTGGGCAAATCACTTCACCTCTCTGGGCCTCAGTTTCTCATCTTTTAAGAAGATGGTAGGGTTTGATGCAGAATTCCCTTTCACCTGTGAAGTGCTTTAATTCTATTTGATCCCCCCTTGCATTCTATAACTTCCTTCTGTGGATGGGGGAAAAGCTTTTAAATAGCTTAATAGTTTGAAACACTTTCTCCTCTGATAGGTTCGTTTAGGGGATGGAATGTGGATTCTAAGTTCACTTTCCTATTTCTTTTCAGGCCGAATGATTGCTTCAAGTCAGCTGTTAACAAAATGGGGTCAAAGTCATCATTTCATTCTGTAAGCTTTCTAATTCACCAAGTGAGCTGCCACGCTGTTCCCTTCTACATAAGGAAACAAGAAGGCCCTGAAGTGGTGAAGGCTGAATCGTACTGGAAAGATAATGGCAGTATTTGTGTAAGTAGATTAGAAGTGAATTAACCTCCCTAAAAATATGGATTGGTTCAACGCCTTGGATGTTATCTGGGCTTCATTCTCAAATGCTAACGAGCAGCTCTTCCTGACAATGGAAATAAGCAACAACTTCAGTTTTTCACAAGTTAGCTCAGAAGAAGGAATGGGGACAAAAGAGGCCTCAAGTTTAGATTGACTCTCTTGGTTTAGATTGTGACCTTCAGAAGATCCCTGCGTGGTACAAATGTTTTGCACTCAACTGCTGACTTAAAGATTAGAGGTTCAAACCCACCCAGTGGTGCTGCGGAAGAAAGGTCTGGTAATCTGCTTCTGTAAAGATTTCACCACAAAAACCCTATGGAGAGGTTTACTCTGTAACGCATGGGACTGCCATGAGTCAGAACCGACTCGATGGCAGTGGCTTGTATGGCCCAGGGCTGGGCTCAGCTGGGGCTGCCATTTGCTAAGTGATGTCCACTAGTCACGTGACTAAATACTTGCGGCAGATTTAGGTTAGCTACTTACACCAGCCATCACAACACTACTCAGAGCTTCAGCTTCTTCATTTGTGAAATGAGAGGCTGGTTAGGAGGGTCTCTGGGAGATCTTCTGACGCAATAACACTGTCCACTGCTCATTTTCTCTTTCAGGGTATGTGGTCCTCTGTCCTTTCATCTCCTGGCATTGATTTTTAGCTCTGATACATCCCTCATGGGGTCTCCCTCACACACAGCCCTTTCTGAGGAAAATGTTCTCCCACAGCTCCTGCTAACTGGGAGAGTGGCAGCCCCAGGCAGCCATGTTTTTAGCCGCTTGACTGTGGTCACAGCTGACTGGAGCAATAGGGCAATTAGAATAGAACAATGAGCAGAGTATTGGGTAAAGGGTAGCAGAAGCTGAAACTATACAGATGTGTAGAAGGAGGTTGTGAGGCTAAGCTGAGGAGTCTAGAGAGTTGAGGGAAAGTCAGAGTTCTGAGGAAGATATTAAAAAGAGGCAGAAAAAAAGATGTAGATCAAGAAGCCACCTGGTGGGAAGAGGAACAGCAGATGATCAGGAAGGAAAGCAGAGGACAGCCCAGCAATGGTAGTGGAAAAACAGAGGTTAGAACTTTTCTCTAGTTTCCTTATCCCCAAGAATTGTTAGAATTCCTGCTCTTGGACTTCTGAGAGATTCCATCTCTTCTTAGCCCTGTGTGCATCTTTGCTTTTTCTTTCCTATGCTTTCCTCATTGCAAAGTCCTATTCTTGTTCTTCATTGCATTTCACAAATTTACTTAGTCATTCTCTTTTATCTCCACTCTCATTTCCCTCTACCCACAGCCAACCATTGCAGGGTGTTTAATGTGCATCTTTTTGTTTGTATATATATTTGTTAAGTAAGCATTATAGTACACGTAGTTGTCATTTACATAAATAATTTTGTGTTTTATTTTTCAGTGTCCAGACTCTCTATTCATGAACAGCCTGATTCTGAGGACACCCCATGTTGCTATATATAGGTCTGATCTGTGCCTTCTGACTGCTGCATGGTGTTCCATGAGGGCAGTCACCCTGTCTGACCTGCCTGCCCAGCAATGGGCTCTCAGCGTACCACCAATGGCCATGTACAACCTCTTACATGTCTCCTAGGGAGTCTTTTTGGGATTTTTATCCAGGAGTGGCCTTGCTGGGTCTGAGGTATGAATATCATTAATTTGACTAAGTATTATCAGATTGCCCTTCAGAATGTCTGCATCAATCTTCCTTCCACCAACACTATTTGAAAATTCTTCGATCAACACTTGGAATTACCAGTTTTCTAACTTTCGCAGCCTGATAGGAGTAAAGTGATATCTCACTATTGTTTTTATTTGCATTCTTCTGATTATGTATTTGAGGCTCTCTTCATAAACTGTGTGTAGTAGCACCATCTTCCACATATGCACATGTATACCCACCTACTTTTACACACACCCACTTGAGCCAGTCTGAGAGTGTTTCTATACCAGTGCCAAGCACAGTGACTGTCATACAGTTAAATGTTTGATAAACATTTGTTGAACAAAAGCAACCCAAAGAGTCTAAGTAACATATACAAACTGAGGTATTTATAAGGTCTTTGGTCTTTTCAACACCAAAAGGTAATCCCTGGTGTTTAAGGCATGTGACTGCTATCAAAAAGTTGATGGTTTGAAGCCACCAGCCACTTTGTGGAAGAAATAGAGGCAGTCTGTTTCCATAAAGATTTACAGCCTTGGAAACCCAATGGAGGTTGCTGTGAGTTGGAATTGACTTAATGGCAGTGAGGTTTTTTTTTTTTTTTTTTGAACTGTGATATTTTGACCATATAATAAAGAGGAAGTCCATCTCCTACTCCTGTCCCCACACATACATACAATCTCACAGCAGCCACGTCAGGCCCCCAACTGCCTGCACCTCAGATGGCACTGTACTACTCCTAGGTCTTTGCTTAAACCAAGTCCACTGCTGGGGATGACAACCATCCCTAAATATCTCCTCCTGCTAAAATTCTACCCATCATTCAAAGCTTCCCTCAAATGCCACCTCCTTTCTAGAGCTGCAGAAAGTCAGGATTGTTTGCTGCCTCATCTGCCCTCTCATCAGACTTTGATCGTGATATTATATTTTGTTTTGCCCTTTATACTAGCCTTTGTAAAAGTATTATTGTCAATGCAAATCTCTGTCCTGCCCTGTCTACTCCTTAGTATGTGTTTCTGGATCTTTCCTAATGGCCCCAATGTGTAGCCTTTCACACAGTGATTGTTTGTGGAGGCTGCCAACTCATGCAGCAAAGGCCCTGTTACTCCTAGGAACATTTCTTGTATTCGACACAGCTGCTGACAGCCCCAGGGCCAGCTGGTGAGGAGCTTCTGTCAGGGTAAGAGGCTGGGAAGATCAGGCCAACAGTGAAGCCCCATAGAGAGCTAGCCCATCCTTACTTGGCATAGGCTTTCTCCAGCAGACAGGGCCAGAACTCATTGTTGTCTCTGCGAGGATGCACGAAGAGGTACTCTTGGTACAGGACAGGCAGGCGGTCATCCACCACTACGTCTACCCACTGTCCACACTGCCAGAACTGGAAGACAGATGAGCACACACCTTAGTAGAATGGGGGCCAAGAAGGGGACCTAGAGTTTGCCCTCTCCCAAGCCAAAAAGATAACCACAGTTACCATGTGACCTCCCTGATGCAACAACTAACTCTTTCCAGAACATAATCCCAGCTCAGATTGCAGGGCAGGGGACAGGCATATCAGCTCATTGGGCAAATGGAGAACATGAGAATATGAGTCACAGACCACAGTAGTCAAGGAATATATGGGCAGGGAGAAAGGAGACTTGGGCTCTAGTTTTACTTTGCCACACTGTGGCTGCACTTGCTGAAGATTTCACACATGGAAGTTTGTCTGAGGCTCTTCAGTTATATCTTGTACACAAGATGGCAGAAGGGGGAGTGTATGCTGAATAAAGGAGAGTGGTGTTGACTGGGGGCAGAAGAGCACACCAGGGACTGAAGACTCAAGGGAGGATTTATATAGTGGTGTGATGGTTAGTGTTATGTGTCACCTTGGTTAGGTCTTGATTCTCAGTATTATATAATTAACCTCCATTTTGTGATCTGATATAAGGTGAATTTCCTTGGGGGTATGGTCTGCATCCAATATACATGGGCTTTCTGGCAAAGCTCACTTGCTACTAGTACTGCATCCAACTCGTCGTCCTCTGACCTCTGGTTTTTGGGATGTGAGCCAGCAATCTTCTGCCTGACCTGCAGATTCTGTGTCAGAAAAAGCTTCTAGCCTGATGCCTGACCCACAGATTTGGGACTTGCCAGCCTCCACAACTACCTGAACCATTTCCTTGAAATAAATCTCTTCCCCCCCCCCATATATATATATACTTCACTGGTTTTACTCCTCTAGAGAACCCAGTCTAAGACAGGTGGCAAGGAGAAAGTGAAAGCACTCCAGAGAGTGGGGACCTCAGGAGCAGAGGCCTGGAGGCAGAATGATGCAATGGCTCAGGAGGACCAAACAGTTACAGCCTTGCTGTTTTCCCAGCAAGCTGGCCCTTCTGTTAGAGCAGCAGAAGCAAAACTGGCTGATGCTGCTACTGCTAAGAGCACAAATGAACCAGATGTTCCTCTCTAAAGCAGACTGTTTTAATCCTCAGCATTCAACTCTAAATGGTTCACATGGGGACATCACCAAATTACTAATACTCATAACAGAGCCAGCCTTTTGGAGTTTCTCTCCTAGCCTCCCCTGTGCTGGAGGAATAGGAGGAATAGGAGGAATAGGGCTGCCGGCTGCAGGCCGTGATGAAGCCGAATCTCTGACAGGTGGGCTCAAATGGATGCAATCGATCATTTGCTGTGCAGTGACAGGAAGCTGTCCACATGGTCTTTCCCACAGCTGGGTGTTCCAGATGTTGGGCTGTCACATCCAGCAGAGGCTGCACTATCAGAGCAGCAATGGAGACCAGGACAGAGATGTCAGTGGGAACAAAGGAAAGAAGATGTTTTCACAATCATTAACATGTCACTGTACTGCAGCTGGTGTCCCTGGGTGGTATGAACAGCTAACACACTTAGCTGCTAACTGAAAGGTTGGAAGTTCAAATCCATCCAGAGGCACCTTAGAAGAAAGCCCTGGTGATTTACTTCTGCAAAATCAGCTATTGAAAACTCTATGGAGCACAGTTCTACTCTCACACACAGGGGATCACTATAAGTCAGCATCAACTTGATGGTAAGTGGTACGGTATGGTATGGAATGGTGTGATATGGTACTGTGTCTAGGTCCTGGCACAGCTGTGACTTGCATTCCTATTGCAGTGAAAGTAAGACACATAGTAGGTGAGGTTGAAAGGGATAATATCAGGAGGTTGAGTGAAACACATCTGAAGCACCAAGGAAAGCCAGTTCCAGCTCCTAGAGGGTGAGTCAAAGGGCAGCAAAACCTAAATTTTGTATTTAGATGAGTAGCAAGGTGCTATAGAAAATGTCCAGTCAGGGAAGTGTGCTTAAATCCTAATTTTGCCATTTGTTACTTGAGCAAGAGATGTTCACCAAGACACTATTTCCTGTGACTCAGTTTCTTTATCTCTCAAATGATGGTAGGAGTAAGATCCTCATAGAGCTGTGCCTGGGATCAGATGAGACTGTGGGAGTTGGGCTGTAGTTGTGAAAGTCGAAACTGCTCTTCACTAGCCATCTTGTTCAGCACCATGTTAGTGCCTGGCACACACTACGCCATCAAGAATGAGTGAGTCCTGGCTTCTTTGAGCTCATCTAGGTGATTCCCCTTACAAGCCACTCTCACTTCCATCCTCTAACACCTGTATTTCAGACTAAACTTTCCTCTCTCTATACAAAGGAATGTGCCTAAGGCACTTGACTGCTAACCAGAAGGCTGGCAGTTTAAACCCAACAGCCACTCCTGAGAAGAAAGGTTGACCAATCTACTTCCGTAGTGATACCGCCTGGGAAACCCAAGGAGGGGTTGTTATGAGTCAGGTCCAACTCCATGGCACATAACAACAACAACATAAAAAGGAAACAAAGGAAAAGTCAGATAAGAAGGCTGTTCCCATAGAGGATGCAAATGACCTGACTGATGGTCCAGAGTGAGGCCACTGACCTGCATTTCTGGTTCATCTCTCTCTAAACATCATGTTGGTGCTATTTTTCACCTATTTATGAGAAGTGTTTTGGGCCTAGCATCCAAGTTGCCCCAGGCACTGGATGCCTTGCAGGGAGAGACAAGAGAAGAGACTGCACAGTCGGTACTGCTGCTGCTCCTGGTGAGCTATGTGGCTTACTTCCCTGCCTAGAAGGGCAGAGTTTGTCTACCTAGGTCTCAGGGAGTGCTAAGCATCTAAATTACTGCCACAATCCCTTGGAGCCCTGAGGAGAACCCAGACAGAGTTAAATCTTTGATCCCCTCTCTCACTTCTCAGTGTGGTCCTTGGATCGGCAGCTTTGGCATATCTGGGGCTTATCAGAAAACCTAACATGCAAATAGAACTGTCATGAGAATATGGGATAAAGGTCTAGGAATATCTGAGGGAAACTTATCATTAACCAGATGTGTTGGAGTCAACTCCAGTTCATGACAACCCCAGGTATATTAAACTGTGTTTTATAGGGTTCTCAGTGACTGATTACGTGGAAGATTGCTAGGTCTTCCTTCCAAGGTTCCTCTGGGCAGACTTGAATCTTTTGGTTTGCAGCCAAGCATGTTAACCATTTGCACCACCCAGGAATGCCAAGAGAAACTCAGCTAAGCAGAAGAAGGGAGCAAATCTTCAGATTGAGAGGGCTCACTGAATTCTAAGTAGTAGTAATTTTTAAAAGGTATATACACCTGGACATAGTCTAAAGAAATTTCTGAGCTCCAAGAAGGGATAGGGTCTCTTATAAACATGAAGTTTGAAAGAACATGTTTCATACAAAGTCATGATATGAGATTAGCACTGGGTTTTCCACTAGCTACAAAACAAAGGAATACTGGTTACAGATGTTTGAGGTAGAGAAATGTGAGCAAGAATCCTAAACCTAACCAAAATAGTATTCTTAAGTTAAAGGAAAAGAAAAACATTCAGGTATTTTGAGGAAATTGTTCAAGGAAATACTCCTACCTAATGAGGATTGAATTAGAACAAAAATCTCAAGATAAAGGAAAAGGAAGACTGAATAAAACAGTAGAGAGAAATGAGTTTTCACAAGAAATATACCTGTAACATAATAAAAATGAAATAGATAATAAAAAGATAAGCAAAGGCATACTAGGAAAATGTACATAACAGTAAACTAGAATGGCAATATGAATATCAGATAAAGGGGAATTCAAGGCCAAAGTCCTTAAGTATACCAAGAGTGATATTACGTAATTTTCACTCTACCAAGAAGACATCACAGTTGCAACCTTTGGGCACTAAAAGAATTATAGTAGAAAAACTGTAAAGTCAGAACTCCTGAAAACAGAAGAAGAACTTCTCAATTCCTTCTTTTAGAATTTGACAAATCAAGCAACCAAAAAATAAGCCAAGATAAAAGAGCATTTTTTCGTGTGTATGTGTGTCTATATGCAACGCAATGCACTGCTGTCGCGTCGGATCCGACTCATAGCGACCCCTCCTTGGGTTTCTGAGGCCGTATAGCTACAGAAGTAGATTGCCCAACCTTTCTTCTGAGGAGTGGCTGGTGGTTTTGAACTGCCAGACTTCTGCTTAGCAGTCAAATGCCTCAGGCACTACTCTGGTGCCTTAGGCCACCAGAGCTATAGCCATCATGAAAGAGAATTTTAATAATCCATTCTGCAAGTAAACAAGCTTGAGTCAATATATAGAGCTCAGGACCGTTGGATGATAAATCTTCCCGTCTATCCATGAAACATTTCTAAAAACTACCATGGATTTGACCATTAATAAAACTTTAATAATTTTCAAAGATGCAGATATTTTATAATTTATATTCTCTTACCATAGTTTAATGAAACTAAAATCAAGCAACCAGAAGATTATCCTCAACAAAATCACTTGAAAATGAAATAAAGTTTAAAAGACAATACTTACATCAAAGAAAAGTTCCTGTGTGGTGCAGATGGTTTGTGCTTGGTTGCTAACCAAAAGGGTGGTGGTTTGAACTTATCTAGTGGTACTTTGGAAGAAAGGCCTGACCATCTGATTCCATAAAGATTACAGCCAAGGGCAACAGTTTGTTTTTTTTTTTTTTTTTTTTAGATCAAAGAAGAAACCAAAACTAAAAACATACTATCTAAAATTAAAAAATTTATTAAAAATAAGACACTTAATATCAAAACCTCTGGTAGCATAGTGCCTAAGGCGCTTGACTGCTAACCAGAAGGCTGGCGGTTCAAACCCACCAGCCACTCCTCGGAAGGAAGGTTGGGCAATCCTACTTCCGTAGTGATACTGCCTCGGAAACCCAAGGAGGGGTCGCTATGAGTCGGGTCCAACTCCATGGCACATAACAACAACAACAACAACATAAGATACATATAAGATTTCAGAGAAAAATTTATAAATTTATAAAAGCCTTTATCATTTAAAA